GTACTAGATATTGAAAACTTATCATGTTAAAATCACACTTTGTCAAATATAATACCGTTCTAATAAAAAACATACCTACTATTATATAGTGATTCTGCTTGCTTGCTTTTTGGTGGTAAAGCCACACATTAGGACTCAAACACTTGAAATTTTATTTATTATTTTTATTATGTGTATAAGTATGTTGCTTGTAAGTATGTAAGTTGCACCTGTGTCTTGTAATACCTGCAGAGGTCAGAAGAGGCCAACGAATCCCCTAGAACTGGAGTTATGAATGGTTGTTAGCCACCATGTGGGTGCTGGAAACTGAACCCAGTTCCTCTGCAAGAACAGCCCGTGTGCTTAACTGCTGAGCTATCTCTCTCCAGTACCTGAACTCAAACACTTGAATTTTGTAATACTCTGGTACTTTGTGACCAACTTTCCATTTGAGAGACTTGTTTTTCTTGAAACCAACTTTGCAAACCCATGAGTCTATTAACATTTACCTCACATGCCACATGCAGAACATCATTTAGATCTGTAGAGAATAAAAGGAGCAGGTAGGTGCTCTCAGTCCCTACATAATAGAAGACAAGGTCATCACCTCTAAATCTGGGTTGCCAGTCTCCATGTGATCCTGGGAACCCAAGTAGTTTCATAGCACTTGGGAGTGAGGTTTTTTGTTGTTGTTTACTCTCATGAATCCTGATTTTTTTTAATATTTTTATTCTTTGAGAATTTCATGCATGCATGCAATATATTTTGATAAATTCAGTTTTTGAAATAAGGATTCGTAGTCATGAAGAAGTATCCTCTTTAATCCATATATGGATTAATTTTAAAGTTGCTTTTTTTCTTCTATTTGTTTTAGTTTAATACAGTTTTTTAGTAAAATGAAGAAGTGGATGGACATGTCAAACCTACCACAGGAATTTCGTGAACGTATAGAAAGGCTAGAAAGAAATTTTGAAGTATCCACTGTAATTTTTAAAAAATTTGAGCCAATTTTTTTAGATATATTTCAAAATCCATATGAAGAGCTCCCAAAGTTGCCACGAAGCAGGAAGCAGAGGTGAGACCCTTAATCTACAAATCTGTGATACAGAATTGTTGAGTTTGTTCTTTCAAATGTCTACATTTTACCTGAAGTATCTAGCTGTAAACTAAAATTTTTAAATTATTTTACTTTATTTTTGTTGTTTGGTTGGTTGTTGTTTTTTGAGATGATCTCACTATTGTAGCACTGGCTGGCCTGGAGCTTTCCTTGTAGACCAGGCTAACCTTACCATGCCCAGCTTAAATTTCTTTTTTTTCTTCTTCTTTTTTATCTTTTTGAGACAAGATCTTCCTGTAGCCCCAACCTGGCCTGGAACTTAATATGTAGACCAGGGTGGCCTCGAACTCAGAGATCCACCTGCTTCTGTCTCCCGAGTGCTGGGATTAAAGATATGTGCCACTATATCTGGCTTTAAATTTCTTTTTGTATTAAAAAAAAACTTTATTTTATCTTATTTTATGTGTATGAGTATATTGCCTGCATGTATGTAAGTACACCCATGTCATGCAGCGCCATGGAAAGAGTGTCAGATCCCCTGGAACTGGAGTTATGGATGGTGGTTAGATGCCATGTGTGTGCTGGGAATCAAACTTTGGTCCCTCTGCACGAGCAGCCATTACTCTTAACCACTGAGCCATCTCTCCAGTCCATATTTTTAATTGTTTTCATTTACTTATGTTTATTTTATGTGTATTAGTGTTTTGCCTTCATGTATGTAGGTATACCACATTCATGCAGTTTCCTCAGAGGCCAGAAGAGGGTGTTGGATCCCCTGGAACTGGAGTTACAGATGATTTTTGGCTGCCATGTGTGTGCTGGGAACTGAATCCAGGTTCTATACAAGAGCAGCCAGTCAGCCAGTGCTCTTAACCATGGAATCATGTCTCCAAGCCTTTAAATTTATTTTAAACTTCATGGATAGTTACTTATATCAGAAAATTTGGGAAAATATTTTTTATTCTATTTCTTTTAATGTTCATTAGAAATATTTACTAAGTTGATTTCTAAGACATGGATTATCTTGTCTTTTTAGTGGAATTTTACATATAATTTGACCCTATTATTATTTGCTATTTTAAATAATTCTTAGCAATCTAGTTAAACAAATAAACCCACAAAAACAAAACAAAATCTTTTTTTTTTTTCTTTTTAGGAGAATTCCTTGCAGTGTTAAGGATCTCTTTAATTTCTGTTGGACACTGTTTGTTTACACTAAGGGTAAGTTGGCATTTTCAGTGGCTTTATGTTTCTACCCTGAGAATTTGGTGATTTTTTTTTTTTTTAACGTGAGAAGTTTCTGGGTTTTATCTTTTTTTTCCCCCTTATAAAGGTAATTTTCGTATGATTGGTGATGATTTAGTAAACTCATATCATTTACTTCTGTGCTGCTTGGACCTGATTTTTGCCAATGCTGTTATGTGCCCAAATAGACGAGACTTGCTAAATCCATCATTTAAAGGTAAAATCTGTATTTTTTAAAAGTAATCGTTAATTTTTTAAGAGTTTACAAGTTGACCATATTATTTTTTGTCCTTCCTATTTCTCTTCATACTCCATCAAACTAGGTTTACCACCTGCTTTCCATACTCCTGACTTTAATGGTCCTGAAGAACCTCCCTGCATCATTACTGTGCTATGTGAACTGCATGATGGACTTCTAGTAGAAGCAAAAGGAATAAAGGAGCATTACTTCAAGCCATATATTTCAAAACTCTTTGATAAGAAGGTATTAATAATAAGATGTTTAGGGTCAGCAGCAACCTGACAAAATGTTCCAAGAATGTTCTCTGCATTGTTGGACTTAGGGTCAAGATTCCCAGCTCTCATTGTCACTGTGACGTAGCATTGCCCACTGATGTAAGGTGATTTGAGAAACTAGGCTGTAAAGAAGGTGCCCAGTTTTATGTCTTACCAAGGAAATGCACCACCGGCGATTCTATGGGGTTCTGACATGAATCAGAATCAGCCTGATACAGGATTGTGAAAAATAAGTCATAGTAAGCTGTCTAAATTACTGCCACAAGTAGTTTGAATAACTACTGTTTACTAAAAGTAATGTAGTATATTAGCAACTGTTGCTTTAATTCCTCATAAGTAAAACAAAAAATTACTTGCAGTCTTATATGCATTGTATTTTTTTCTCATTAATTATTTTTCTGCTTATGAATTAGCTTGTTCAGCTTCTTAATTCTCTGACCTTGAATCATATAATTCAACTAGGTCTTATAATTTCTCTTTGATAAAAGGGTTTAGTTTAAGTCATCACTGTGGTCCCCTGCCATTTAGCAAGTATTATGAAGGTTTTCTTTAAAATTTTTGTTATCATTATAATTGTGTGTGATGCACGTGCTTGATGTGTGTGACTGATGGCACGCATGTGGATGTCAAAGGACAACTTTGTGGAGTCAATTCTATTCTTCCACCCTGACATAGATTCCAGGGATTGAACTCAGGTTGCCAGGCTTATTTAGTAGCAAGTGCCTTTGCCTACTAAATAAACTATCCCACTGACCCATGAGACTTTTTTTTTTTTAAGTATAAAGCCTTCCCTAACTTACCCATCTTTAAGTCTATATAAATCATGGTCTCTTGTTTCCATGTTGAACATCTCCAGCAAAGTAAACATTTAAAGAATACATTGTACAGATTCAGTAAACTTTGGTATGGTGACTGTGCATCTTGTTTTCTGTATGACCTAGCTATTGTCTGAGCAAAATAATTGAAAGTTTCTTTTATTGTTTTGTTTTTTGCATTTTAAACGCATTTTAAACATTTATTTATTTTTGTGTGTATGTGTGTAGGTGTGCATATGCCATGGTGCTTGTGTGGAGGAAAGCTTGCAGGATTTGGTCTTTCCTTCCACCATGTGGGTCCTAGGATCAAACTCAGGCTGTCAGTTTTGGTGGCAAGTGCTTTACCTGCTGAGCTATCTTACTGGCCCCTTTTTCCTGTATTAGAGTCAGGGTCTTCCTGTTACCTTAGCTGGCCTAGAACTATGTAGACCAGGCTGGGCTCCATCTCACAGAGATCTGCTTGCCTCTGCCTCCCTAGTGCTGAGATTTAAGGCATGTGCCCAACTTGTAACAGTTTCTTTTATTCCAGAACCTGTGGTGTTTATTATTATGCCTATATCATAATCACCTGAACAAATAGATGGACTCTTATTTTTTAAGTTTTTAAGAGTGGGCGGGAACTCAGGAAGACACTGGTTCCCTTATCTATTAGAACTATCTGTCTTCCAGAACTGTACCAATGGATCTTTCTTGTCTTCACCCTGTGCTGGTGGAACTGTCTCTAGTCTCCCACTGTCTCCCCTTTCCCGCTTTGTTGGGGAAGTACAAGTTCAAGTTGGGCTCCATCCTTTATCCTCACAGACCATCTGGTCTTTTCATCCGTAGTTCACATTCATTCAAAGTCACATGTCCTTGGCAACCTGTATTCCTTCCAGTGGTGGGTACACGGCTTGTAGCCCTATGATATGTTAATTCTCAAGCATATCCACATTCATTTTCTTTTTGCGTGGATTACCAAACTGAGGTTGCCAAGGAGACAGCAGGGTCATCAGACCCAGGAGCATGGTTTTGCTCGGTTTAACTAAAAGTCATTAGTCCACAAGAAACAAAAACATCATTTTGGTTTTGTAAATATTTTGTTAGTCAGAGTATTCTGGATTGGATGATTGGATTGGATAATGATCCAGGCCTTGAGCCTGTAGGATGATACTTATTTTTATTTTTTATTTATTTTATTTTTTGCCATGCCATGCCTGTGGAGGTCAGAAGAGGCTGTCGGATCCCCTGGGACTAGAGTTATGGACAGGTGTTAGCTGCCATGTGGGTGCTGGGATTCGAACCCAGGTCTTCTGCAAGAACAACCAATGTTCTTAAATGCTGAGGCATCTCTCCAGCCCCAATACTTAATTTTAATCTAAGTATAGTGGGGTATACGAAAACTATCATGCCATGCCTGTGGAGGTCAGAAGAGGCTGTCGGATCCCCTGGGACTAGAGTTATGGACAGGTGTTAGCTGCCATGTGGGTGCTGGGATTCGAACCCAGGTCTTCTGCAAGAACAACCAATGTTCTTAAATGCTGAGGCATCTCTCCAGCCCCAATACTTAATTTTAATCTAAGTATAGTGGGGTATACGAAAACTATCAACAACTTGTGTAGATTTCATTTCTCACCACTAGTAAGAAGCTAGGTGCTTCCCATCTCCCCCTTTGTGATGCTGGATATAAAATTCAGGACCTTGTGGCCAGAGAGATGGCTCATCGGTTAAGAACACTGGTTGCTCTTGCAGAGGACCTGGGTTCGAATCCCAGCACCCACATGGCAGCTAACAACCACCTGTAACTTTGGTTCCAGGGGATACGATGCCTTCGCCTAAGTTCTGTGGGCATTTCATGACATGGGTTCTCTTATATACATACAGGCCATACACTCATAAACCTAAAATAAAATTTTCAAAAAGAGTTTGGACCTTCTAAGTGCCACACAAGTGCTATACTACTGAGCTAACAACCCAACCCCATAAATTCCCTTTTAATCTTTTTCATTTGTTTGTTTGTTTTTTGCTTTTTGAGACAGGGTGGCCCTATAGCCCCGGCTGGCCTGGAATTCCCTATGTAGACCAGGCTGGCTTTGTTCTCACAGAAATCTGCCTGCCTCTGCCTCCCGAGTGCTGGGATTAAAGGCATTCATCACCTTGCCCAGCCCCATTTTTTTCTTTCTGGAGACAGGATTTCATGTAGTTTAGGCTGGCTTCAAACTCACTAGGTACCAGAGGGTAATCTTAAATTACTGATCCGTTGACCTCCACCTCCCAAGTGCTAGGATTGCAAGCATGTGTTTATGCATATGGCTCTCCTTTTAAACTTTTTGCTTGCCTGAAGCATGTAGTAGTAAATTTAGTTTTCTTCTCATACGCTGCTGTTTAATAATGAATATCTTTCATCAGAATCACTTGAGGAATTTGTTTAAAAGGTTTCTCAGTTTGGGTTTTGAGGCCCATTAATCTTAGATTTTTTTTTTTTTTTAAGTTTTCTCTTAGTTACTTCTATCATTAAAATCTGATGCTGGGTATGGTGGTCCACACCTTTAATCCCAGCACTTGGGAGGCAGAGGCAGGCGGATCTCTGTGAGTTCAAGGGCAGCC